GCAGTAAAATACTGACATAATTTGTGTAAATAACCTTTCCATTCTCACAATAAAGGTCTGACTTGAATTTCGCTCGCATTGCAGAGCTGTATTCTACCCAGTTTTATTTTGAGGTTGACTTTAAAGAAGCGAATTGAAAGATTTTTTTTTTTTTTAAACACCTTTTTTAAAAGTAGGCTAATTTCTCAAGCACATGTGAAATAACTTCCATTCAGAAAAGAGCTTTCTATTTACCTGTTTCAGTAGCTCTGAGATGCAGGAGTGTGGTAGGAAGTCGATTATGGGGAAATTTTTCTGGGATTTGGGGAAGGGTAGAAGCCTGATTGGCCACTGGAAAACACTAAATCCTTCTTGTTAGGTTGCTGGTGTGCTGAGGCCATTGCCAATTGTACTGACTAATGCTCTTTTCTTGTACTCCCATCTCTATCCATCTGTTGACTCTTTATACTTCAGTTGCAGGATTCTTGGGGCAGAGACTCTCTTTTTATTCTGTATTTGTACAGCACCTAACACAATGGCATCCTGCCATGACTAAGACTCCTAGGCTGTGCAATAATACAACTAATAATAATTTGTCTTTCAGCTTTTATATGGTGCTTACTGCTGTAGTATCAAATGATATCATGGACCCACAGGTAAATCTTCACAATATGCTGCTGGGATCGGAGGAGTGTTTTACAGATAGGAAAGTGAGGCACCTGCAGTGAAACTGGGGAAGCTATGGTAGAACACAGACCTAATTCTCAGAATCCCAATCCAGGGCCTTCTCCATAGAAAGTTCGTCTTCTCTGATAATTTCTAGTTTAGTCTATTAATCTGTCTTGATCCAGTTCCACAAGAACAAGAGAATCAGAACTCCATTCTTTAGTTACCTTTGCTGAAACCAAAGTAGGTGTCTTTATTCATCTGCAGCTGCTTCATCCTGGAACCTAATATGCTGCAAGTCTTTTTGCTTAGTAATTCTATAGTCAATTATTTGGTGGGCATTTAGAGTACGGCTAGTCTGTGGGGGGGTTTCGGGATACCAGAGGTCCGCGTCCGGGGCCACATTTACTCATCTGCTTTTTTTTTTTTTCCCTTGTGGAAGAGCAAACACGCTCTTTCAGAAGCCCCTGTATTCCTCGTTCTACGAGGAAGAAGGGGACTTTCAAAAAAGGGTTTTTTTTCCAACATTTGGCCCAGTCTGGACAGGCCAAATATTGGAAAAGCCTCTTCCGACAAAAACTTGTAGTCTAGCCATACCCTTAGTGAAAAGAATGAGTTGTTCTTTGTTACACTCTGCCTAGCACTACAGTACTATAGATAGAATCTGTTAAAAGTGGATGTGAGATGGACTGAGTCCAGAATTGAGTGCTGTATTTAAACTGTGAACTCTTTTTAAAAATCTGTTTGATCTGAGCACATGTAGCATCTGTCCAAGCAAGAGGCACAGGGCTGAGACTGTGCACCAAACATATTACAATATCATCTTCCTTTTTTTCCCCCAAATTACTTTAGTGACACCAAATGGTATTGAAATCACTGTGCCAGGGACCTAGTCTGAGTCTGGCCACATACATTGCAATTTAAAAACCCCAACTGGCCCATGCCAGCTAATTCAGTTTTCACAAGGCTCAGACTCATGGACTTTTCTGTTGCAATGTGGACATACCCTGAATAGCCAGTTTCTGACAGCTGGTTGCTTAATAGTTCTGAGCACTGTCATTTACTATTTCCTTGATTACTAAATTACATTAGTAACTTCCTTGTCCTCTATATGCCCTGTTACCCACAAGTAACATTATTACTCAAAGTTCATGAGCAACGGGTCATGGGGATTTTCCTTCAGGAAGCCTTTAGTTGGTATTATGAGCACATTCCTGAGCTTGAACTAACTTGTCTTTGATTCTTTTCATTCTTGGCCAAAGACAGGACACTAATCGGTTCTTCCCATATATCTGAGGAATGGGGATTGACATCAGAATACCGTATTAAAGAACAAGCTAGTTACATTGTCTTATCTGAAAGGCCAAAGAATAGCTCAGAGAAGCATAATCCGTTGACTGGAGGAGAAAACTAGAACTCAGAGCTTCTATTCTTAATTCTTTTACTGATTTTTTTGGGTGAGTTTGGTCAGATCAATTTATGCCTACATTTTCAAATTTTTGGTGTGTCAGGTTTTTAAGAACATAACATAAGAACATAACAATGGTTATACAGGTCAGACCAGACCAAAGGTTCCCTTGGCCCAGTATTCTGTCCTGTGACAGTGACCAAAGTCAGGTGTCCCAGAGGGAATGAACAGAATAAATGATTTCTTCTCTGTCACCCGTTCCCAGCTTCTGATAAATGGTGGCTAGGGTTGGGACACTATTGGTGTACCTATCCCCCATTAATTTATCTAGTTCTTTTTTTAATCCTGTTAAAGTTCTGGTCTTCACAACATCCTCTGACAAGGAGTTCCACAGATTGACTGTGCGTTGCATGAAGAAATACTTCCTTTTGTTTGTTTTAAACCTACTGCTTATTAATTTCATTTGATGGCCCCTAATTCATGTGTTATGGGAACAAAACTTTTTCTTCTTCACTTTTTTCACACCAGTTATGATTTTTAAAAATCTCTCTCATATCCCCTCTCTTTTATAAGCTGGAAAGTCCCAGTCTTTTTAGTTTCTCCACATATGGCAGCTGTTCCAAACTCCCTAATAATTTGTGTTACCCTTTTCTTAACTTCTTCCAATGCGAAGATTTCTTTTTGGAGATGAGGCGACCACATCTGTATACAGTATTCAAGATGCGGGTGTACCATGGATTTATAATTTTTGAGACTATGGAGTTTGAATTTTTGAAGGCACTGAGTAGATGGCAGATCTTACTGATTTCAGTTGGGTTTCTGGGTGCCCAGTTCCTCTAAAAAGTAGTCCCTAGATATCTATGGTTAGGTGACCAAAATCAGTGGACACTCATGAAAATGTAGACGTAAACTTCTCTAATAAGTATTCCTGTGTATAAAAAGGAACTACACTTACCCGCAGGGCCTGATAGAAAAGGGAACATGACGGTTAATCCTTTGTGAAGCAATTGAGTTATAGGGAACGCTGGCTGATGCTGATAGGTTCTCTGACCACTGTTCTTAGTAGAGATGTTAAATATCAGTTAATTGAATAGTTGATTAACCTCATGAATTATCAGTTACTCATTTATTCTGTAGTGCCCGGGGGTGGGGCTGTCTGGCAGTGCGTTCCTGCCCCACTCCCAAGGAGCTCCCTGCCATTCTTCGCTACTGCCTCTGTATTAGAGACAGCTGTGTGGGGTACCAGGCAGGAGCTGATCCATGAGGAGACCCAGTTTAAAAACCAGCTCCCCTTGCAGGCCTTCTGCCTGTTGCTGATACAGCGTGGGGTGGCAGCAGCCCCTGTACCAGGGGCTCCCAGACCCGTCATGAGCTGTAGCCAAACCGGGCTGCCTGCCTGCCTGGCTCCTAATATACTTTAAATGAAGAGCTAGCAGCAGGAGTAGGTTCCGGACCCGGCGCAAGCCAAGACTGAGCCAGGCTGTTGGCCAACCTGCTAAAAAACTTATGGGCGGGGGGATGCGTGTAGTCTATAGCATTAATGGATAAGCTTTTGCTTATCAGTTAATCAACTACATTATTACATCCCTAGTTCTTAGGATTCTAATGTCTGGCTAATGCAATCCATTGCTTAATAAATCCCAGGTCTTCTGAATTGGATTGAAAAACTGAGTTTGCTTCAAATGACAATTAAGTCAGAATAAGGATCTTTTTGTTTGCAATTGAGCATGCAGCATCTTGATGTTGTAGAATAGCAAAACCCAGAATCAGGATCCAAAGAAAAGTTAGATGTTAAAGTATTGTGTTCTAAGATGCCTGCTAAAATATACAGCATTGTGATTTTTATATCCTTATTTATTTTTGTATAGCTATTCTTGTACCACATCAGACTTTTGTTTCTAGGAATTTTAGAGGTTCAGGAGTGTGGGAAGGATGATGTTGGGAAATGAGTTTCAATGATTAGATGATGTTTTATTCCCTTAATAGCCATGCAGCATTTGCCCACAATTGGTTTGACCCTGGGAACTCTAGAGTTGGCAACAGAGCTTGGCCACGAGTTGAGAATTTTAGCTGGAATGGATATGGAACTTCCTCCTCAATGAGTGTCCATTTTCACTGTCTGCACCTGACAGCTCTGCATCTTTCTAGCATGGCAGTTGGCACACTCTACTCAAGCTCTGAACCATTCAGAACGACTGGCTCTTGTTCTTTTTTGCTCCAGGAATTCTTTCTTGTTGAGTGTGGTTGGAAATGAGAGAGCAGACATTTCACAGTAGAGGACTGGCATGGTGTATTCCTGATCTAATATCAGTGGGAAGCTGCTGAACAGGAACATGGCCTATGCTGAATGGCCAAGCTACCTTCCTAACTCTTTTATCTCACCCTGCCTTCTAGAATTTTTTTGATGGGATATCTCTAAGAATGGGCATCTTCCCAGGTGTTCAGGTGACTTTTTGAGGGGCGGAGGGAAAGGGGATAGCTGCAGCACTATGCACCTTCTAGTGATTTATGTCTCTGACTCTTAACTAACTTATTACAGAATTATTTGCAAAAGCAACTAGTGTTTTACTCCTTTCTTGGGCACACATAGCAATGTGTTCCTCTTACTTTTAAATCAGACTCGCAGACAGGTGTCTACTATTATTACTTCACAATCTCTGGCAGAGAGAGAAGAAATTGATTTGGGTAAAATATTGCAGTGTCTTACCTTGAAGATATACATTTGTGGAATAAATCTACATCACTTGTGCATTATCATTCATTGACCCAAATTCTGGTCTCAGAGATTTACAAATGCAGCTTTAGTGACTTCAGTAGACGCAAAAGCAGAATTAAGTCCATAATGTGGCCAACATGGTCTAATGCTAATGGGGTTTGGCTTTGTCCTAAGGGATATGTCTCATGATGACTTAGGGCATGGAATATTTCATTGTCTCTTTAAATTGCAAAACCAAAGATGATTGTTTTAATTTCTAAAATATCTACATTTCTCTTCCAGAAGAGACCAACGCTGGCCTTGGTGTGTGTGGATGGCTGCTAGTGATCATTTCATTCTTCTTCGTCCTTGTTACCTTTCCAATCTCAATCTGGATGTGCATAAAGGTAAAGAAACTTAATCTGAAGTTTAAAAGGTGCAAGGTGTTTCCTAATAGTTTAACAACATTATCCAGCTCACTGTTGGCTTCTTCTCAAAATCCAGCTGTTCCTGATCCTTCTTATTTTGACCATAACATATGGCTTACAGCAATCCTAAACATCTCAGGGAATTCAGGCCCAGCATGCAAGAATTGCCATGTTTCTGTAATATTGGCCAGAAACTAATTTCAGTGGCATCTCAATCACTACTCCGTCAATAGGAAGAGGCAAGAGAAGACACTGAGAGGTTGTGCGAAGAAAGAGGAATCCCAAATTTTCATTCCTGTCTAAACAGCTTTGGAAGGTCAAAATAATAGCAAGAACAAGTATTAATTTTGAGGAGCCACTCTTTAAATGTGTAATGGATGACAAGCACTTACAGAGTTGTGTCATAACTCAATTCCTTAACCTTAGAGTTATTGGTGCTGGGGAATGCCAACTTCTGTTTATATTTTGGCTTAATCTAAATCCACCCTGCTTTTTTGAATGCATTTTTATTGGGACAGAAGAAATTACAAACCTTTTATTGAAAAGAAAAAACAAACACAACATGAAAAATCAGAAATCAAAAGGCCTATTAAACCTATCAAGTCCATCTGCCCTCCTCTGTGCATGAGTGCTTCTTACAGTATATTTCCGAAACTTTGACCCCTCCAGGTGACAGAGTTGTCACTTGGATCCTTGGAAAATTACTCCACTCCCAAAATGATTTAATCCATTAGAATATTTTTCTGATAGATAACCCTGTTTGGTATGTTCTGCTTAGAACAGGTAGGTGGAGACAGGAACAGTATGCACGTTATGTTCTGCAAAACCGGAGACTGTTCAGCATTATCCTTAATATATTCGGAAGCCAAGATTTTATATATAAATTGATAATGACTCATGTATTAAACATCTGTTTTCTCCTTACAGATCATAAAGGAATATGAGCGAGCCATCATCTTCAGACTTGGACGCATTTTAAGGGGGGGAGCAAAAGGACCAGGTCAGTTCTGTGTAGGATCAAGTATAAGGCATGTGATTCAGTAACATGATGATCTGCAAGATGAAGGCACTTTGACAGTGGAAAGGAACTTTATTAGCTTGGTATTTTTTTAATTATTCGCAAAAATTAATGAATGGATTTATTTGAAATTTAACTCAAGCAAATTGGCATTGGGTAGCAATAAAACAAATGGCCTAAAACAAATGTTCATTGCCTAGAAAATAAAATATTTCAAAATTATATGTCAGGTCCTCTCAATATAAATTGGAGTTCAGTGGTGGTAATTTTCTAAGCAAAACTGAAGATATTTCTATTTCCTCCTATAATTTATAAGAACGACTGTATGCTGCTGGACATGTCTTTGAAATGAGTTTCAGTAAAACTCCTCTTATCAAATTATATTTAGTGGAGGTAATGTCTTCAACTTTCATTGGTTACATTAAGTGGCTTTTTGTTATTTAGAGATTTCCTATCCCCAAAGCTATATGGATATATAGGACTCTACTCTTTACTCCAGTTCTGATTTCTTTTAGAACATGTTCCTACCTTTAGGGTACATGAGATCTGGAGGCTAAATTGCCTCATAAATACATAAAATTATACATTGTTGTAATTTTGTAGGGATTAATAAAATAAGAGTCCCTGTAGTTTAACCTTAAATGAATTGCATGCTCGTGTAAGTCACTGGATTCATAGCCCTGGAGAATGAAGGCTTCTGCTTATCCAGGGAGTGGTATGTTCCAAGCAGTGACTGCCTAGCTTTCCTGTCTCCTCCTGACCAAAGTGAGTCTCATCCAGCCACCCCCTTGGCCTTTGAATATTTTAGGGGTGTGGCTGGGGAATAGTGCCTGAAATAAGCAATCTGATTAAATTAAGGCTTTTTGGGGGGAGGGTGGTACTTGCTATGTGAGGTAAAGTTTTCAAAAATGCCTATATGACTTAAGAGCCTAGATGCTTTTGAAAATGGGATTTAGGTTCCTGTGTCACTTAGGCACTTTTGAAGACTTTATCAGTGTACTTTAGAAGTGATGCCAAGACCTTAAAGACTTACTACATTGATTTCAGCTGTCAGCCTACAGCTGGGAATAAGCATTAGAAGCATTAATTTACTGTCATATTATCCCTTGAACTTGGTGCTTCTGGACTGTTTCTCCATGTATGACACATTGGAAGTAAATAATGACATCTGCTCTCCAGTGCCGTAGAATGTAAATATATCCTGTATAAGTAGCACTTGGGACCAGATTTTCAAAAGAGCACCTAAACAAAAGATAGATTTTTCAGAAGAGCTGAATGCACTGTCACACTGCTGTTGTCTTTTGAAAATGCTAAGTGGGAGTGCTAATAAGTCTGGCCCCTGATAAATGTCTGATCCCTATTTAAGACTTACTAAGTGTAGTGCTGCTTAAAAAAAAAAATCCGATGCTGGTGGGAACCTTACAAGCATAGCAGCACCTAGAAATGTTGAATTAGGATGAGATGATATACAAGTTTATTTTACCAGCAATTTGGAAAGGGATCCAGTGTCTCATTGTGTTGGATGGATTTTGTGTACAGGTTTATTCTTTGTCCTGCCCTGCACAGACAGTTTTATCAAGGTGGATATGAGGACAATCTCATTTGATATTCCTCCCCAGGAGGTAAGTTTTCCCTTTCCTAAATGTCCTTACTTATTACCAAATGAAACAGAGCTCAACACTATGTACCCCATTCTTCTCCTTAAGATTCTCTGACTCCCCTTTCTACATCCTGATTTGCTAGAAAATGTTTTCTTCCCAGCTATTGTTGCCCAACTAAAATCTGTTGATATTGACCAAATCCATTTTGTAAGACACGTCACTGGAAGTATGAGAGTTAGATTCTGAGCCGTGTCATATGACACATTCAAAACTCTTTCCTTATGATGTTACAGAGAAAGAGATCTTGGAGCTATCGTGGATAGTTCTCTGAAAACTTCCACTCAGTGTGCAGCGGCGGTCAAAAAGGCAAATAGGATGCTAGGAATTATTAAGAAAGGGATAGAAAATAAGACCCAGAATATCTTACTCCCCCTGTATAAAACTATGGTACGCCCATATCTTGAATACTGTGTATAGATGTGGTCTCCTCACCTCAAAAAAAAGATATTTTGGCCTTGGAAAGGGTTCAGAAAAGGGCAACTAAAATGATTAGGGGTTTGGAACGGGTCCCATATGAAGAGAGGTTAAAGCGACTGTGACTCTTCAGTTTAGAAAAGAGGAGACTGAGGGGGGATATGATAGAGGTATATAAAATCATGAGTGGTGTGGAGAGGGCAGATAAAGAAAAGTTATTTATTAGTTCCCATAATAGAAGAACTAGAGGACACCAAATGAAATTAATGGGTAGCATATTTAAAACTAATAAAAGAAAGTGACTACACGCTGTGTGAAGAAATCTGTGGAACTCCTTGCCAGAGGAGGCTGTGAAGGCTAAGACTATAACAGAGTTTAAAGAGAAGCTAGATAATTTCATGGAGATTAGGTCCATAAAAGGCTATTAGCCAGGGGATAGAATTGGTGTCCCTGGCCTCTGTTTGTCAGAGGCTGGAGAAGGATGGTAGGAGACAAATTGCTTGATCGTTGTCTTCGGTCCACCCTCTCTGGGGCACCTGGTGCTGGCCATTGTCGGCAGACAGGCTCCTGGGCTAGATAGACCTTTGGTCTGCCCCAATACGGCCGTTCTTGTGTTCTTATGTACAGCTCCTATAGGCTTATAATAATATATTTTTGGGTGTAAGAGCAGCATTTGGAGCTGGTGAAGTTGATCCTTTTCCTCCACGTCCCTTGTAAAAGGCCACAAACCCTTAGACATGGCCTCTATTTTTTCCAGCCCTGCACAGTACAGTGTGTTTTTTATTATCATCTAAAAAGGAACTAAAATAAACAGCCTTGTGACTTTATTTTTTATGTCATTTTCCCTTTTCAAACGTCATCTCTTGCTAAGTCACGTTCATTGTATCTATCCTTAGTTATAAACTTCTTGAAAGTAGCAGTGTCTTTGCTTGCTCAAGTGTGTCTCTTGCACTGTTTACAAATATTAAATCATTTAAAAAAACATAATAGACCATTAGAACTTATCTTGGAAAGTCTCTGCAGCATACCGTTCCCACTGCAGTCAAGGGCGACATCCTAGTCCAATTAATAGCATGCAGTGGATGTTTGGCAAATCCATTTCTCAGTCAGTAAATAAAACTGGTGCCAGGCTGGCCAGATTAAATGCATCAAGGCTTCTGGCTGGCAAAAGGAGGCATTTCTTAAGTTGCTAAGTGATGTGAGTGGTTCCTCACAAGCTTTTCTAGAGTAGTTTTGAAGCATTTATCCCTCCCTCCTCCCCCCCCCCATTCCTCCTGTTGACCAAGAGAACCAAATTCAGTGTTTTAAACAGTTTTTTTTAAAGAAGTCATAACCTTGCTCCAGTTTGCTCCTGCTATTCAGAGAGCCTGCTGAAAGGATCCCATGAAACTCTTGAAGAGTCATCGTTATGTCTTCTGTTTTCTTTGCATTTTTTTAAGGCTGACTGCTTTTAAGCATTCCAGCTACTCTTCATATCTGTGGAGGCATCTGAATGCAGAGCTATATTCCTTGGCAAACTGCAGTGTTTTCTTCTCTCCTTTGAACCCATTAAAAATTGAAATAAGCATTTGGCCCTGAAGAAGAAAGGGCCAAGGCTGGTTATGTTATCATACGAGCGTTTGCATTTTATGTTGTATTTATTGAAATTTAAAACTTCATCTAATCAAAACTGTTGTATGCTCAAAGAGAAAAAGCACAGTTAAATATTGGGTTGGGCTTTCCTGTTTCTGTATATGTACTGTTGTAACACTTCCTTTACACAGTAGAATGGAAACAATCAAAGTCCTTTCTCTGTGGCAACCAGGTGATGATGTTGTAATAAACTGACGTAAGTTCATTGCCTCTTGCTATACTTGGAGTGCCAGATTATGCAACATGTATTTCAGCTATTTGTCACTGTAAAGTCCTCCAACAATAAGGAAAAAGGATTTGACATTATGGATGTAAATGGCTAACCGGTAAGCCTCACCCTTAATGAGACTTACCAGTTCCAGTTAACTGGTAGGAGCCGGAGCAGCTCCCTGACTGCTCTAGGCAGGGGCTGCTCCAACCCCAAAGGGCCCACTGCAGTGAGCTGCTCTGGACGGCTGGCAAGAGCAGCCCCTGTCTATGGTGGGCCCAGTCTGGATGGCACGCCAAAGGTTACATTCTGGCCCCCCATGAGCTGGCTGCAGAACCTGCAGTGAAGTCTCCCTGGGAGCAGGACCAGCAGCCCTTATATATAAACTTTATATTGCATGTAACTGTAATCACTAGCATTTTTGTGGTTACATGGTTACATTTTTAAATGACTTTTTGCATCTCTATTAGACATTCTTACTCAGAAGAAAAGCATCTGCAGTTGCACAAATTAGGAAAATGCTTTCAAGGGTAATTTAAGGGTTTCTCCCAGTTAATGCCTATCCATTGTATAGCTTTATACAGCAAGGTATCTTATGGGGGGGAAGGGTTTAAACTTCTCTCTAAAGAAGATGGCATTGGCCACTGCTGAGACAGGAACTCTGGCTAGATTGGTTTGTCAGAAAGGTACTGTGTAAGGGTGTTATTTTCTGTGTTACCCACAGCTACACAGACATTCCTCTTTGAGGAACTCCTTTTAAAGAGCAGAGTGAAAATATCGCTTGCTTTTTTTTTTTCTTATGTAGGTCACCTACTTTATTCTTGACGCACATAGTCAGGTGCATCTTATCTGATGAGTGTGGTTTCACAAATAATGTACCATGGATGTGAAAATCACAAGCACGCTATACTTAAGTTATAGGTGACTTCCCCACACAGGCAAACCTCAAATAAGTCATCTATCATTATAAGTTATTTGGATATTCGCTTTTTTTGCTTTTAACCATAGAACAGTCCTTAACCATGTGCAAATGGCATGGGTCCTTTGCATTTAACACTAACAGACAAAAAAATTTTGGAGTGTTTCTCAGCCTGATTGTTCTCAGAGTCTCCTCTAGCAGAAGGACTTGGGGCCCTCAGTGATGCACACTGACTCACAATACTGTTCAGTCCAGGGTGCTAATGCAGGCTTTTGCCCACTCTCTGATATATGCTATCTATCCTTGCCTTTTTGCTTATGACAAATTAGTCTGCTCTGCTTCTGGGAAATATCTAGGAACTAGCAAAGCTTCCTATCTTCAGGACAGATATATTTGGTGTAAATCTTTTTACTGAGGACTTTTTGTTTGTTGTTTGTTTGTTTACCTGCAGGTGGATTGTTAATACTTTGAGGCCTTGAGGTCAATAACACCTTAGTGCAAATCTAGAAACAAGTTATTTTTCCTTTACAAATTTTTCCATGACCCCAAATTCATTCTTGTCTGAAGAAGTTTAAACTGGAGATGGTTCTTTCACATACCTATGTATATATAAATATATACACATATGTATGTGCACACATACATGTTGCATTCTTTGTGCACCTGTTCATTTTGAGATGGAAATAACATACAGTTTTAGGATTACCAGAAGGCTGGGTAGACTCAGGATTTGTGCCTCGCATGGTATTACCAACATATAGTTGTGAGGGATAAAGATGCTAATTTAGGTACAGAACTGAGTAGTTCTTAAATACTTTACTAAATTACCTTTAACTCTGGGGAAGGTGTTGTGACTCTTGTTGCAATTTGGAAAGAAAAACAGCTTTATTGTTTTATGGATTTTATTATAAATTAAAAGGCAAACTTAAACTCTAAATTTGTAACTATAACTATAATTTTTACTGAACTAATTAAAGATTAAAGAGCACACGTATCAAACCAAAATTACAGTTACAATAGAATCAGCTATTTTAACCATCTTATTGTATGACTCATAAAGTCAGTGTCACACATTATCAGTTGTATAGTACACTCCCTGGAAACCTGAGGAGGTGTGGCTGTCTGTCCTTTTACCAGGTGATTTCTACAGCTGACTAATTTCGCTGACCAATTTATTTCTACTATGCTACCTAATGATTAACAACCCATAAGTTCCCTTGGGAGCAGAGTAGTTTGCACAGACACATTTGTATTGTCCATGTTAACACACAAGTGATTTAAAGTAGCACTTAGAATTTGGATATGCATGTGCTATTTCTTACACACACATACACCCCCTTAGAAAGGGGCTTTGGTCGTAAGTGCGGATGGTCGTAAGTGGAGGTGGTTGTAACTTGGGGAGCGGCTGTATTTAAAATATTCTGGGCTGCTTGTTGGCAGAGAATTGGGGGAGTAACAGTTGGTGGCCTGATTGGATGAAGGGTCATCTCTGAGGAAAAAAACTGGCAGATTCTATTAATATAAATCCCATTGAAGCTTAAAAGAAGGAAAAGTTTACAAAAACTGAAAGATAATTGGAACTTATAGATGAGGTTTCAAAGAGGTCCATTTCCCCTTCATAGTATTTCTGTTGTCTTTTCCATTCATCATTGTTGTTCAGTTTAATTGTTAGATTTCTTACCTCCCTACAGATCCTTACCAAAGACTCTGTGACAGTTAACGTGGATGGAGTGGTTTATTACAAGGTTCAGAATGCCACCCTTGCCGTTGCAAACATCACAAATGCAGATTCAGCCACTCGGCTCCTGGCACAAACCACGCTGAGGAACGTTCTGGGGACCAAGAACCTCTCTCAGATCCTGTCTGATCGAGAGGAAATTGCACACAGCATGCAGGTATGATCAGCGTTGCGTGCACGGCTTCAGTGATCAGAAAAGCTAAACTATAAGGCTGTGAGTACCTTGCAGGCTCAGGTCTGTACTCCAATACAGCAAAGAGCCAAGCAGATCCAGATGAATCTTGGATTTGGAGTTTTGTATAAAGCTTCCATGAGAGCTGTTGCAACAATGTACAACTAAAAAAAGAGCAAACTAGGCAATAATGGGCTAGTGAGCCAATGAGATCTACAGCTTTTAGCTTTAAAAGTAGGTGGCAGAGTAAAGAAAAATAACCCAAAAGAGGCAAAATGACTACCTAATAAAAGGGTGGTGCCCGGAGCTGTGGAGACCAGCTGCAAAGGGATGCTGGAATCATGTTCATGGACTCTTGAGAAGACTCTCCCAGCTTGATAGAGACAGAATCTTGGGATGGAGAGAGGACCACTGTGCTGACCCTAACTGACTGAAGGGTGCGTTGCATCAGCTTTTCAGGCCTGTGTTGTTTATAGTTTATAGAGGTGGCTTCCAGCTTATGCACCCTTCTCAGTGTTTGATATTACATGGGTCAGTGGAGACACAACACCCAGCTAAGTGCATTGAAGTTCTCAGATACCAGGTAGTAATATTATTTATTGACCCTCAGTTAATTTGTTCTATGTCTTTGTTTTAAATGCTAAGATTGCTTTTTTTTTTTTCTTTAATGGAGTCAAGTAAATTATTTTAGCATATTTGTCCTGGGTCTTAACAGGCTACTCTCGATGATGCAACGGATGAATGGGGAATTAAGGTGGAACGTGTGGAGATTAAGGATGTGAAGTTGCCAATCCAGTTACAGAGAGCAATGGCAGCTGAAGCAGAAGCTGCCCGTGAGGCACGAGCCAAGGTAATAGCTTCATCATACTTTGTGTGTTCATCAGTAACTTCATGTGACGATTTCTCTGAGGGATGGAGACCTTCAACCAGAACAGCAGAGGGTGTGCAGGGCAAGACTTTGGGAGAGCCCCATCTGTCTCACTTTTGTGAATTCTGAAATCCCTACCTCCCCTCAGTAGCAAGTTCTGAAAAACTTAAGAGTATGGCATCTTGAAAGATATGTGATCTAGTGGCTGAAGTGTGAAACTGGCATGACTTCTGCATTGTTTCCAGCTCTTCTGTTAACTTGCTGTGGCTTTAGGCAAGCCACTTATGCATTCTGGCTCTCTGCCATTTAGAAAAAAAAAAGCACAGTGCATTGTGGTTGTCATGTGACTAAATGTTCATAAAGTACTCCAAGATCCTTTGCCTTTCTGCAGCTCTTTTAATCCATTTGGTGGTGTTACTCCTTTTTGCTTGTAATGTAGGGTGGGAAAATCTGATGTAAAGCATTTAAGATCCCCCTGAGACTTTTGGCTTTGATATTTGAAACTCAGCCTGGTTGCCAAGCTCTGGGAAGCTTTCTCACCAAAAGGCCCTTGTGCTGTGGAACTTGCTCCCTCTGGTGATTTCCTTATCCTCTGGGGAATGTAGAAAGCATTGTTTACTGAGTTAGCTTGAATGTGAAATGGCAGGTTATGTTTAAGAATTCCAGTCTGAGACGAAGGTTCTGAAGTTTGTCTCTCACTAGTAGGAGCACGTTAATCATCTGCTTAGAGCCTCATCTGATCCGAAAAACAGAATTTCCTTGTGAAACCCCTAGATCACAATTCAGCAGTGGGAGGTCTCACTGTAGTCCATTGGATGCTGTGGAACTTATCTCTGACTTAAGAATATCCTTTTATTTCGTTTTGAATCTTGGCATCTAACTTACCATGTATAGAGGAGAGATTCACTCCAAGGGAAATAATTAATGAGACCCCCTTGAGCTCCTTGTATATTCTTTTTTTTTTTTTTTTTTTTTTAATGTTCAGACTTTCTTGTACTTCTGTGGGGAAATAAAAATGAGAGCAAATATGTATTTCATTGGATCCAGGTGCTGTAACCTATAGAAGGTGAACTTGAGAGGGCAGCTAGAGAGAGACCTTGGTTCGAAGCAATAACTTGTAGTCTCCATATACCCCAAATCAAGTCTAGGAGTTAAGCAATATGAAATCTGCAAAAAATTTAATTTGGTCTGATGGTTAAAAGGATGGAGAACCATTGCATAGTGGACTAGACTGTATAGAAAGAAGTATTCTCCACACACGTACCTTGCCCCATGCAGGAACCAGTTCACTATTGCTTATCATACTGCCACCCTCATCCTATCCAGTCTGGCTTCTGTAGGTTTAAAGGGAGCTGGTGTTGATGCACAGTCACAGATTTGGATCCCATTTGGGATTACTGGCTGGTGAGGTCTAGAATCATGAGGTCTGATGATGTTGGTTTAGCTGTTTAGTATGTTGCAGTCAAGAACAGCCCGTTTATATTCACCTCTTGACTTGTTTTGTGACTTGATATTCTCTAAATGACTCTTGGGGCATTGAAATCTGAAGATGTTTATTCCTCTCTCCCATCCCATCTCTCCTAGGGTGTAGCAGTAGAGTCAGTGTACATGCTGCTTTGATTTAGCTCACAGTAGAAAGCATGTTTAATGTATAACCTTGTGGCACAGCTGTGGATTCAGGTTTAATTGGCCCCTCATGGCTCCTCTGCTCAAGTTTCTATACTGCAGTTTCCATTAATATCCACAAGAAGGGCCTACACGGCGTAGCAGTAGCAGGTATTCTAGTCCCTTCAGATGTTTGGCAGGGTCCTAGCAGCTGTTTCGTAAGGTACAAATCTCTTAAGTTGTAAAGCAAATCTGCCCAAAGGGTGCCCGGAACTTGTTTGAAGCCCTCCCATTTGAGCACTGCCTTCTCTTACAACTGATGAGACTGAAAGAGTTAAACCATCCTCCATTTTAGCACTGATAGACCTGCTAATTCTTGCATTTTTCCTCCTCAGGTAATAGCAGCTGAGGGTGAAATGAACGCCTCCAGGGCCCTGAAAGAAGCCTCTATAGTTATTTCTGAGTCCCCTGCTGCCCTTCAGCTTCGCTACCTGCAGACTCTGACCACTATCGCGGCAGAGAAGAACTCCACCATCGTCTTCCCGCTACCTGTGGACTTGCTACAGGGCCTCTTTGCAAAACACTAACCTGGTTGGGAGGTAGTGGAAAGGGGATCTTTCCCCAGCAGGCATGATCTGTGAAACCAAATTAGCTGCGAAAGCTTAAAGCAATGATAAGAGGGAGCTTTTAAGGCACCTTTTTTTTGTGTGAAACTCGAGTGTGTATGTGAATGTCAGTTATCAAAATCCTCTGCAATTTATATAAACGAACTCTGCTCTTAATTTAAAATAGAGGCTTATTTTAATGTTCCTATGGGGTCGCAAGTTTTTGTAACCTACACACATACACCCTGTTTGCAAATGGCATGACCACTTTGTATGAAGAGCTCACACTTGGAAGGGCTGTGAGGTGATCTTCCTTTTAGAGAAGAAGGTCCCTGGTGCTGGCTGTGGAGGAAAAATGGTTCCTTACCACCTGCTTCATGGCCAGTTGCCTTGTAAGCTGAAATCTTTTGGTAAGCACACAAACTGCTCCTTCAGTTCTGTTTGCTGAAGTAGAACAATGTGTATGCTCAGTATGTCTGAAAATGCAGTCTTCCCTCTCACAAGATGTAGCAGTTACCCGGTTGGAATGAAACTTTCCACTCCTGCCTTGCTGTGACACTGGGAAAAGTATGAACACACTGTAGTTATGGAAACAATGTTTGTATATGTTATCCAGCTGTCACAGTTTGTGTGTCTGGCTGTATTGATTAATGCCTTTTTTTAAAGCACTTAAAATATCTCTGGATCTGCCTTTTAATTTGTACATCCTTTTTTAAAAAGAATATTCCTTTTTTAAAAAACAATTCTGAGTTTCATTTGTAAATTATTTGTCTTGATTTTAAATATGTTCGATAAATAATTCAAAGTGCTGTAACTTACTCCTAGAACTTGTATCTCCTGCAAATAAGGTAATTTTAGAGTCTTATATTTTATTTTAATTTCCTTTTTTTACAAAATACCCTGTACACAGCTTTTCTGTCTGTTAGAGGAAATTGGTGACTATTTTTAATCTGTATTCTGCTGAAAAGCAAAATTTGGCATTCAACTTGTGATTGCATTCTATGTGAAGATTTCATATTTTAACCTTGTCTTGTTAATTTTAATGCAGTGTATGTGTTGTACAAATTAAAACATTTCTATGTTCCAGTGATAACTATGCTGATGCAAGAAAAGAGGATTAGCTATTTGGCCCACTATTTCAAAATTCAGTCAACTCCCCTTCTTTTCTGTGGGATTACTTGTCTGTAGTTTGGATTCCCTCTGATTCCTTTTCTAAAGTAATACTAGAAGTTTTATTGCTTTGATCTTTCTAATTGCTCTGTGTAGTGCTATTAGTTCTACAAATCTCTGATCTGACTGGAAGCAAATGAACATAACAGAGCAAACAGGAAATAAAAATTCTCATATGTGATTTGCATATGTAGCTAAACCAGAAGCACGTGGCTGCTTCTGCTAGTCCTCGCCTGTATGTGCATTATCTGTGAAGTGCACAGCCATATCTTGCACCTGTTTGGCAGATGTAATTAAAGTCTGTTGAGAGATGTTGAGTCAAGAGTCTGGACTGGAACAACTCTACTAAACTGGGTCCCTCATCTGTAAGTAGGGAGAGTTGGAGTGGAAGACACAAAGCAAACATAAAGAAGATGGATGGATTCCAGAAGTGCCCTTGTTATCACACTGCCCTTAATAAAATGTCTTTTCTTTGTTCATTCACTTCTCAGGTGTGGTTCATTTTGTGTATACATCACTTCTATTTAGTAATGGCATGATGAACTGAAAATCAATAAGCTTATTGTGCTTGATCGGCATTTTCTGGATGAATTCCTACTGCACTATACAATGTGTGTGCATTAAGCACTGTTGATACAACACTCTCTTCTATGTTGTATGTGACTACTGACATACATGCTATGAGTCAGAATTTCAAACTACCCAAAGTCCAATTCTAATGCAAAGTGCACTTCAGTGCCTGGCATTTGTTCAACAGCTGTAATTAGAGGTTGAACTCTAGTTGCCTGGCTTGGTGGTGGTGGGGTATGTCACTGCCCCACCCCCCCTCCTCCTCCTGCTGTGGCGCTCAGCTGACTTCTGCGCCGCTCAGCCGGGCTGCCACGGGGGAGCCCAAACAGCCGCTTGCTCCCCCGTGGCGGCCCGGCTGAGCAGCGCAGAAGTTCAGCCGAGCACCACGGCGGGAGGCGAAGGGGGGGGGGTGGGCGGGGCGGTGACATGCGGTGTGACAGCAGCTCCAGGCCTCACCCCCTGGACGTCACCACCCTGCCCCCCTTCGTCTCCCGCCATGGCACTCAGCTGACTTCTGCACTGCTTAGCCAGGCTACTGCATGGGAGCAAGTGGCACAAGCAACCGTTTGAGCTCCACGTTCCCCCGAGTGAGAGGGGGGGAGGAGAAGAGAGAGGCAGGAGGCAGAGGAACGCTTAGAGAGAAAGAGGGGGAGGCAATAGGAGGAGGGGGGGGGGGGGGGGGGGGAGGAGAGAGAGACGGAGCGAGAGACCGGAGGCTCAGGAGAGAAGACTGACATGGAGGAGACACCTGAAAATCTCGTCTTATGACGGACTAATTGGCTAGTGCGTTAAAAGATTTAGCATTTAGTGCTGGAGTTTTGAGCCTGCTAATAGCAACAGGTTAATAAAATGAAAATTCCTGCAAGGATCAAGAGTGAGAGCATGTCTATGCTAGAAATACAGAACTCTAGCTATGTAGAGTATGTAGCTAGTGTTGGCTTACCTTAAGCCAAGCTTGGTGCTGGCTTTCCTTATGCCTCAATACTGCGAGAAGAACAGGCACCAGCCAGGGCTGCCCTCTGCATTCAATTTACGGGTCTATACTAGACCTGCTAAATTGAGTGCCAGAACGTCTATCATCAGGGTGAGTGAAGATGTGCCCTTAGCTCTTTAAAACACCTTAAGCGAGTAGACCAAACCTCAGTTGCTTCTTTGATATACTGTAAACAAAAGAGGCAACCTCTTGTTCATTGCTGCTTTCCATAATACATTCCTACTAAGTCAGTCCTTTTCCACACACTTAGAAAGCACTGGAATTTAAAAAAACAAAACCTTCAAAAGACTAATTTGGTCCCCAATCATTGGCTAGTTTTGTACAATAATGTAACATTAATAACATCTGCACTAAAAGGGACTTTCAAGTGTGGCAGCTAATGCATTTGTGAAAGTGGCACACTGAAGACAGTTTGGGGTTTTTTTTAAGTCTCAGGGTAGTCCAAATTTTAGACCAAGGATGCTATACCTTCTATTTAACCCAGTTTCTTGCAAGTTGCCATAACAAAACAAACGTGAACACTTTTAGTATTCCATGTAAGCTTTATTGTATTAAATACCGTATTCAAAGCAACGGGTAGGGTGATAGGTCTCATCATGAATTTCTTTAATTATTGCACAGCTAGTTGGCTATTAAAAACATGAATGTTTATCCTGCAGGAGGAAGTAGCTCTTGTAGGCAGTGAAGGCACCAAACTTGCTCTATTTAAAAAAGGATCCTCTTTTACTTAGGCAGCCAGCTCTGCCATGGCCCTCTCCAGAGGATCAACAGTCCAGTAATCGTCATCCCAACCCAGGAACCAGCCAGAGAAGGTGGGAGGTTCGAATCCTTGCTTGATGATAGTGATAGGAGTTCTCTTATCTCTGTTGGCAGGATCAGTTTCAATGTACCTTTTAGCTGTAAATACACAAAAAGAGCCCATAAAATCACTACAGCTGCTTATGGAGCAAGCAGAGAAAGAGGTTCTGGAAAAGCTAAATGCGGAACACAGGCTCTAGGTTCTAAAAAGTTTTTTTTATTTTTTAAACAGGCGATGCTACTAGTGGGGTTTTATCTAGGTTTGCTGACAGACTGTCCCAGGAGATGCTTTCAACCACACGCTGAACAGTATGAAAGGTTTCAATCAGGCATATAAACTGCTCTTTTCACGTGTGATTTACATAATGAATATTCGTATTTAAACAGCAGAGCACCATCCTATCCTGTCAGCCACAAAATGATCATTTAGCTCCCATTAGGGATTTAATTTTTCCATTAAGAACAGATTACCTACTTTGCTGCCTTTGTTTTTTAACTGCACATGTCAATGTGATATGTCTGTACTGCACATCTGTGCATTTAGGTATAGGGCTTAGAGCGGCAGCAAAGACAAAAAATGATGGATTCTCTCACAGTCAAGGAATAAAGGAATGATTTTTACAAAAGAGTAATTTTGTCACTGCTGGAAGTTGAACGCAGTATGTAAAACCACCAGTAGCTTCTGGGGCAAAACTAGAGGGATCCTTCCAGACGTTCAGTGACTTCTTGTACATGTATTAGTCTGTCAATTTTATGCGGTCATGAAGACAGGAGTTTTTCAAAACATTCTGCCCTCTACTCCAAGTGATCAAGCTGGAGGTGAAGAAAGAGAAGAGTTATTTAGGAGAGGGCCATGTGATTGTTACCAGATGTCACGGCCTCAGTCTTTTCTTCTTCATGAGCCTCATTTCCAATCCAGACAAAGACCTACAGATTAAAAATCAAACAGTGTCAGCTACAAAATGCCTCTCTCTGAAGTGAAACAGAAGTCCAAAGTCTCAGGGAACACAACAAGAATAAATCCATGCCACTTTGACTCAATTACCCACCTACTCATAGCAATAAATAGAGATTGCTACTGCTAGTGAAGTTTGAGAGAAAGTGTCCAACAGGGGAACAATTCCATGCTAATCAGATACATGGAAGAATCAGCCGATGTCTGAACTGCATCTTTACACTGAACAGCTACCCTGTGCCTCTCTACAAGCTGCCTTTTGGTTAACCGGGGCAAAGCAATCAAGGAGCTGTCCTGTTCCCACAGGAAATGAGGAGCCAACTTAATTATGTACTGAATTCTGACTACATGCTCAGGCAAATACAGACAAGGCATGAGATCAGCCCTTCATGAGTTCACAATGTGAGAGAGACAACAGATGGTGCTGGGAACTCCCATAGCCTGTCTCTTTCAGTCTCTCATCTGACCCAAGCAAGTGGCAGAATCCCAACTCAATCCTCAACCTTTGGGTTAATATTAATATAGTTTAATATCTGACCCATCCTCTGTTGGGTGACTTGGTCCCATGCGTACAAGGGGGGTGGGTGTCATCTTATCCATATCTATTGCAGCTGTGAGTCTGTCAAACTAAAGCCATATGGTCCATGTGCCCTCCTAGTCAATATAGTTGAAGGTACCTGGTCCCATGTGTCAAGGATCATAACATCATCTGTAGCAAGGTCATCCTGGGTCAACTCTCCAGGAACCTCTTCAATCTGAAAAGAAGGAGGTTAGAGGGGGATCAGCTACTTCAGGGAAAGCACCCAAGTCTGCATCATTTTATGTGAAACAAGTTCATGGAGATGCTGGTAATGCCATGAAGCGTATGCTGATAACGGTCTGTCCTCTTATGGGCAGTGGCACCTAAGTGTCAGTCCTCCCCAATCACCTGGCCTGGCCCTTTAAGATTTTGGGACATCTGAAGTGTAAAAACCTGAATTCGATCTGTGTTAACATGTGGCTGAGAAACGCGGACATTCAAACGGCATAATAAAGAAACGACATTCCTTCAAATTACGGGGCTACAGAAGAATTCTGAAAATACCATGGACAGAACACATAGTCAATTAACGTGTACTGGTATTTGTAGGGCACATCTTAAGAAGTTCATTGCCTGGTGTGTGTTTACAGGCACTGGAAGGGAAAGCCGATGACAAAAGAACAGGAGGCAAATGATCGTGGCTGGACCATGTGATATCAGGTGGCTCAAAAGATGTAGCCATCCACAAACAGTCGCAGAAAATGGTACAGAATGGGCTACCATGGTTACAACCCCCCCCCAGGAATGGGCATCCACCCAAGAGAAGTGTGCAAAGACCTCGGAAATAGTGGAACAGGATTTATAGGAATAAATAGAATTTGAGAGGAAAGCCCATTACTGCCTCTTTAAGGATCTGGAACCAGGGGCATTTTGGAGTGGGCAGGGCAATGCTCCCCTCTCTCCCAGCCAATTGGGATGAGCTTTGGGAAGGAGACCAGCTTATATGCTGCCTGCTCCCACATAGCAAGGGAAACTTGGTGGGAGAAAGCTCTGGCCTCCCAAATCCTGCTAATTAGGAGGAGGAGAGGTGTCAGCTGAAGGAGAAATTGGCTAAGGGCCTACAGCTGATCTAAATCACCACCCCAACTCCAAGGAGGCTTGGGGGAGGAGCAATTGAGCAGGGGCTCTTGTTTTAAGGAAAGAGAGAGAGAAAGAGGCTGCCAGCCTGCCTGAAGCACAGCCCAGCGGCTGCCAAGGAAACCGAGAAGGGCCTTAAACTCCTGTGTAGCCAGCTGGGAGGAAGCTGCATGAGGAGCCATTGTTCTGAGTGGGAGTGTGCAGCCCTGTGAGGGACACTGATACACAGGGGAAAGCTCGGAGCTGCCCAAGGAAGTGGATTGGAATAAGCAGCCTTTAGATGTGCCACACAGGATCCCAGGGCTGGAGCCTAGAAGAGCAGGTAGGTTCCCCCAGTAAAGGAGGGTTGCTCATAGGGCCAGCTTAGCCTTTATTCGTGTATTTAGCTGTAACACCAGGAAGCTACTGGCTTGTATCCTGTCAGACCGTAGCTAAGGCATGTTAGCACAAGGATAGTCAGGTAGAGCAAACCTGTGACCTTCGGCTAGATAAATGGCCTGATAGTTCGGCTTAGTTTGCTTAATAGCAGGCGGTGAAGCCTAACAGTAAAACTGCAATTGCAAGAACATGGAAGTGATCAGCACAAACCTGCCTGAGCTAGCGGTGACTGTTCTAGTGAGTTAAATGTCATGAACATGTATTAATACGTTAACCCATAGGCTAAGTGATCCCAATATTGTAAAAGTGAGGAAGTTAATGTGGGCCCGTAAGGCTGAGCCTTCCCATGACTATTCCGGATGGTGTTCACCAGCGTTCCCACCCAGCAGTGGCTTGGCTTTTCCCCTCGTTGTTGGTGTTCCATCATTTCCCCTCCCCCCCAGCTCTATCGTTCTCTACCATCAGCCTTGGGCATTGAGGAACCTGAGCCATTGGACTCCAGCCAGGGACAGGACTGGTCCTTTGTCCCTTAGCCCCAGAGCCTCCGGGAAGGGTGTGAGCATGCAAATGTAAGAGTTCATAGAAAGAACAACTCAGACAGCCCCAGTGCAATATTATTCCTGTCTGTTCATGGGATGGGAGCTTTTCTGGCTTTATTCCTTATTTTAATACAAGTCTCTAAGGGTTGACTTTGCCCTCGGTGGGCATGTCCCTCCCATGTGCCCTGACCGTCCCTACAAGCTATTGAATTCATTGGTTCTAGTTCTATGGCGCCTGATTCTGGAACAAGAACCGTATTCCCTACAACAGCCCATCGCTGGACATGCTACTGGCTATTAACAAGGATCAGGCAACAAGAAGCACAAGCCCTGGGATTTAAAGAGGCAAAGACAGATGAGTCTTTGGGAGCTGAAGGCCTGGCATACAGAGCGTTAGCCTTTGGTTTTTCCCTGTTACCTCAGAGAAGACCCGGCAAGAGGACTAGGTCTTCCACAGTACCTGTGCACACAACACCTACAGCTGGCTAGTGGGAGCAGCCTGTTTTTGCCATGGAAACACACAGTTCATTCACAATTCCTCTGGTAAACGACAGAGTTTAGGCCCTGGTTTTGTGTAGTCATTCACATACCCTGTACTTCCAATCCTACCACCAGTTCCAGCCAACAGAGCGGGAGTACTTGCATCCTGCAAACCAGACGTAGCTTGATGCTACGGAAATTTGGTGTAGTGGGAAGGCGGCTTCGGGGTGTGCTGCTTTCTTTGCGGCAGGTGACACTAACACAGGGCTGAGCAAAATACGTCCTGTGGGCCGAATCTGGCCCACTGAGACGCTGGATCCGGCCCACAAACACAGGGGGAGCCTCAGGCAAGCCCTCTCCTCCCTCCCCCCAAACGCCACTTCAAAGGCAAATGGCCGAGCAGCTGCTTTTCCACCAGCTGTGAGCCTGGGGGAGATTTGAAGACCAGGCAGCATCTGAAGTATCTCTCCTCCTCCCCTCAGGCTCATAGCTATTCACACACACACACGGCCCCTGCCATGGCCGAGCAGCGAGCCTGGCTGAGAAACACACTGGGCTGCTGGCTGGGAGTCACCCACGTAAGTCTCCTGGCCAAATCCTGCCTCTGGCACCCCAGCCCCTCTCCCCCCCAAACCCTCCGCCCCCCCCCCTTTTGTACCCCAGTTGCCTGCTACAGGTCACAACTGCTTCACCCAAACTCCTTCCCAGACCCCACATCCTCTCCTGCACCCCAATCCCTTACTCCAAGCTCCCTTCTGCACCCAACCTCCATCCCAGTCCCGGCACCTCCTCCTTGAATATCACGGAAGACTTGATCGCTTTCCAAATTCTGGGAGTGGCCTTCCCATCAAAGATGATTGCCCACCCCTGTGCAAACACTCTCCTTGGGGAGGAGCCCGCTGCGCATTTGCTGGGGGGTGGCCTGGGAGGCAGAGCTGTAGCCTCCTGCCTGGCCACGACGGGTCCTGGCAGCTAGCGGCTCCGTAATGTATGAAACACCGCCTCTTTAATCGGTCTCACACTCACAATGAAGCGCCCGCTCTTGTTTGAGCAGGCGAAGAGGCGAGGCGGGTGAACGTCCATCTTCCTGTCCTTCAGCCGGGGGGAGGTGCGATATGCTGCTTTTCCACCCAGAGCCTCCCAGAAGCTATCTGCAAGAGAGAAGGGTTGGCTGATGCTGCTGCCACGTACGCCACGCCCACCCAGCCTCACGCCACGGGGGGGGAGGGGGAGGGAAGAGTCACCCATCAGGATCTCAAAAATCCACTCTGCCTGGCTGAGACCTGGATGGCAGAGGGACACACTGCTCATGCACAGACGTTGGCCGGGGCTGGTTGCTCTGCTTATGCCCATGGCAAAAATCCCCAATGGCTGCTCCCCACAAGTGCAATGGAGGTGCCAGGTCATGCCCGTGCAATGCCCCAGACTGTTCCCAAGCCGGGGGGGCTGCAGTGGCAGGGGACAGGGCTCGCCGTAAAGTGCTTTATCCAGAACATTGCGACTCCCCTTGCCCACTCCCAGCCGGCAAGGGACTATGGGCAGAGTCTGATCACGAGCGCCAATGACTTCTGCATTGGAGCTGCCTCAGTGGCACGTCTTCTCAATCCAGCCGGGCGGAGGGAGGGATGCACATGCCTCTAGCAAGGAAGCGAACGTAGGCTGGGGAGTGGCACAGGATCCTTGGCATGGCAGGGCACTGCCCAGGCAGGGAAGCATCACACAGGACAGCAGGGTCAGAGCACGTGAGAGCCCCAGCGTCCGGCGTGCACTTAGATCAGGTGGTGGGAAGGTTCGAACGCTTGTGGCTCAGGGCAAGGGCTGGGGGCTAGACCGTCCCCCGGTCATGTCCAGTCTCTAGCAATGAGTTGAGCAGAGATGTGGGGACAGGGCTGGACTAAGGGGTGGGCTAGCCAGGCAGCTGCCCGGGGTGCCCAGCTCCCGGTGGGCTGCAGCAGCCACCCAGGGCAGGGGCCGTGTTGACCCCTGCAGCACCCTTTCCCCCGCGGCAGCAGGGCCCTGCACGGCCAGGCGCAGACCACCCTGGACGGCCCCAGGCTGCGCGCCATCGGCGGGGGCCTGGGGGGGCGGGGCGGGCGTGGGCGCGTGCGGAGATCCCGCCGTGCGCCTGGGGCCCGGAGCACCAAAATGGCTCGGGCCGGCCCCGTGTGGGGAAACAAAGATTGAGGCTACAGCTGCATTGCCATTTTTTTGCAGAAGGAGATATGCAAATCGCACTCACATTTGCATATCTTCTTCTGGTTCTTTTTGCAGAAGGGGTTTTGCTGCTATTTGGCCCCGTGTAGACAGGGCCAAATGTCGGGGGAAACCCCCTCTCTTTCACAAGACTCCTTATTCCTCGTAAATCGAGGTTTACAGGGTCTTGCGAAAGAGGGTTTTTTTCCCAACATTTGGCCCCGTCTACATGGGGCCAAATAGCGGCAAAACCCCTTCCGCAAAACGAATTGGAAGAAGATATGCAAATGCGAGCGTAATTTGCATATCTTCTTCCGCCAAAAAAAAAACAAAAACGGCAGCATAGCCATAGGCTCCTACCTGGACTCCCCCTATAGGACGTGCTCGTATCTTCTGCGGCCCAGTAGGGTGAGCTCCCCAGAGGCAGAACCACTGGTCACCTCTTTGCCTGACCTTTGTGTGGGAAGCCCCGAAGTAAATACCCGTTGGGCAACTGTCAAGGAGAGCAAGAACTGGTGGCTACAATGGAAGGAATCCCCGTGGCCCAGCCATGCCTCCCTCACCTGGCTCGCTGCCCTCGGCGATTTGCACCGGGCGCGCCCCCAGGATCTTCAGCAGCTCTTGTGCCCCAGCTAGCTCGGTGTCGCTGGCTGCTTGGCCCACCCAGAGATAAGCAGCAGATGGAGTTTTCAGGACAAAGGCATCGTTGGAGTTCAGCTCGCTGGCCACAGCCTCCAGCTGGAAAGCAACAGCACCGCAGCCATCCCGCGGGTCAGGAGTTTTGCCTCTGAGAGATCTCTGATTAGCACCCCGGGCGCTCCTGAGCAAACGTGAACCACCCACCATACACACACCGATGACTAAGGATAACGCCCTCGGCCAGGTGCAGTCCAGCTGTCGGAGCGGAAAGTTTCTATAACACGCATGAGAGGATTAAACTGTCGACTGTGCCTGTGGGCACGTGAAGCCCTGACGCCGGAAAGGCAGGGCTGAGACCTTGCCACATCTCACCAGTGACAGCAGGATACTTATGGACTTGGAGGGGAGACCGCCACAGAGCAAACCCCAGCGGCTGCCAGTGGTGATGGTGTATTTGGCTTTATCCCCCTCCCCCCAAGTCAGTAATGAACCAGGACCCCAGCATGGAGCTAGGAGGCTCCATGAATTCTTGGCTAATGAGCAGGATTCTTTTCTATTATTTTTGAAAGATTGGGGGGCGGAAACCTGTATCCTGGCTCCAATTCTCTTTGGATACAAGACGCTTGTCACGTCCTACCCTCAGCTGTGAAGTGCCATTGTTGTGTGCTGTTAAACGCCCGGCTGCATCCCACGCCTGCAGTTTTCAATAGTGGGTGAAAGTCTCACTTGATATTAGTCTGCAAAGTCCTTTGGGAACTTTGGAGAAAAGCCTTTAACGGCATAAAATAGCATTAATAAATGCCTGGGAACGAGGCGATTATTAGTACTAACCCACGGGAAAAGAGGAAGCTCCCGATAGCTTATCTAGACTCCAAAGTTTGTTTCAATTGCACTCAAGTCCCACTGGAAGTTGAACTCGGCCTTGCCCCGGCCTCCAGAGGGAACATGCTGTGACAGGACATCAGATCTCATGTTCCAACTGCTGTCAGTGTTCCGGGTCAGCTGGGCTTTCCCATCACGTACCTCCACGGCTCTGGTGGCCCCGGATGTGCTGGAGCGGACCTGGAACAGCCGTGTGGCGGCAGGTGCCGTCTGGCCTCCATCCCTGGAGGTTCCACCATTGTAGACAATCAAAGGTTTCCCGCCAAACATGCTCATCAAATGAGGAGGCTCTTTTCCCTGCACCACGCGTTTCTGGGGGGGAAGGAAACTCAGAGTCACACATGAGAGGAGGCAGAGCAGCCTCGGATTCCCAAAGGGGCTGCTCCTTTTCCACCTCAGGTCAGATCCCCTCTAGGAGCAGGGAACCAGCCCTATTCTCGCACCTGATCCGTGGGTAAATTAACCCCCTTAAAATCCCATAGCAGGGACCCCACCTGACACGCAGCAACGAACACGAGTGTAAAGTGTTTGCTGCCTTCTAGCTACACAGCTGAGCTGCCACCTGCTGCCTTCTAGCTACACAGCTGAGCTGCCACCTTCTTAGGCCTCTTACTGGGATCTGTGCCGCTTGATGTCGATGCAGCAAAGAAAAGACCCGTGTCACGCGGCAGACACCACTTGCACAGGTGGCCGCTGGCACAGCAACTGGAGCAGACACTAAGAGCAATCAGGACCTCAGCTGTCCATAACCCAGAGCACAGCTGGCCAGGGCCAAGTCAGTAACTTCTCCTTTGCTTGGGCTAGTGGTTTTGCTAGGTACAGAGCCTCTCCCTCGCGACTCTGGCAGCGCCGGGTGTGCAAAGGCTGCTGGGGTCGGAGGGCAGAGAACTGCGTGGGGAAATGAATGTGCAAACAGGCCTGTATTTTTCATGCAGTGCATAGTTAACCTGTGGAACTCCTTGCCAGAGGATGTGGTGAAGATCAGGACTTTAACAGGGTTCAGAAAAGAGCTAGATACATTCACAGAGGTTAAGTGTAGCAATGGCTATTAGCCGGGGTGGTGTCCCTAGCCTCTGTTTGTCAGGGGCTGGAAATAGATGACAGGGAAGAGATCATATGATAATTCCCTCTGGGGCGCTGGCATTAGCCACTGTTGGAAGACTGGCCTAGATGAGCCTTTGGTCTGACCCAGTCTGGTCATTGTTATGTGGCATTTGCTCTGAAGACGCTACTGAAACCGTCACGGGATGGATTTCAGTCCCCATGGCTCCTTTTGAGTCACGAGACCATACACGCAGGGCACTGCAGAATTACACATTTTGGTGCTTTCCCTTTAAAGAAAAGCCAGCTTAGAAACTCTGGGATATTATTCGGCTTGTGGGAACACTTTGCCTCTTTCTCCCGCCTGCACTGACCCTCTGGTGCCAAAGGCTCTCCTTTGACCTTACTTTTTCCCTTGCGCTTTGATTTTTAAATGCAGCCAAGAACCAGAGCAGATGTCTATGCTGACTCTGGCAGTTTGCACTTCAGAACAGCGGCCTGCGGAAAGGGAAGCTAAATATAACCCCCGTTTTTCCTCTCCTCCCTGCCAGGAAGCAGTGTCAGCTACCAACTCTTCGCACTAACTGTGAGGATGCAAAGTTTATGCATCTTGCGCAGGAGGGTGTCCCTCCCCAGAGTGGGGCGCAAGAAACTGGCTTGCTCTGGCAAAGGCACACGCCTCGTTAGTTACAGAAGCAGCGGCTGGAGCTACCTGCACTGGGCTGCCTCCCAGCTCTTCGTCCAGCTGAACGCTGAGGAATGCGGAGGCCGTGATTTCATCCTGGGAGGAATCCGCACCCTGCCTGAAAAACACAGATCAAAACCTCGCAGCCTTGTCCTCGGGCCGCAGTGAGATTCCCAAGCCCTGAGGAGGTCGGGACAAGTCCAGGGCCTCCTGGCTGTTAAGCAACTTGCACAGCATTCCACTGCGGGCCTGGAGGGGAATCCGCTAACATAGGGGAGCAAAGCAGTGGGGGCAAGTGCTACCTATTCACGGTGAGCAGGGATTTCTAGGTACCCACGTTCTTCCACTGCGCCTCTCCTGCGCAGAGCTGCGGGGCTTAGCAGGAGCCAGGCATTCCACTTCCGCATTGGAACGTTCCCTTAAGGCAGGGGTGGAGAACCTACGGCTGGGGGCCGGACCCGGCTCTAACATAGGGGAGCAAAGCAGTGGGGGCAAGTGCTACCTATTCACGGTGAGCAGGGATTTCTAGGTACCCACGTTCTTCCACTGCGCCTCTCCTGCGCAGAGCTGCGGGGCTTAGCAGGAGCCAGGCATTCCACTTCCGCATTGGAACGTTCCCTTAAGGCAGGGGTGGAGAACCTACGGCTGGGGGCCGGACCCGGCTTCCTTGGATTCAGCCCCCGAGGCTCACGGTTCCACTCCCCCTCCACCGTCAGGGAGCTGATGCTCCAACCCTGCAGCCCCCCAGCCTGCTGCTGCACCCCCTCTCTGCTCCTGCACCCTACCTCCTGCCCAGCCCTCCCACCCCCAGTCCACTCCCTCCCAGTCCTGCACCCTCCCAGATCCACAAACCT